CAACTCAAACAACAATAAAATCCTGACAGATGTTCACCACCTGCACAGAAAGCATTCATACACCTAACACTGAATGACTGACCATTCATGCAACAAACACTATATCTATATAATGTTCGCAGAGCAAAAGGTTCTATAAGCACCTTTGTTTTAGATTTGCAGCACAATATGGAAATTCCAATGCTCCTCGGCTCCATTTTGTGGCCGTAACTCTGCGACTCTAAAAACTAAGGCGTTTGCAGAGCTATTTGCTCTGCAGAAGTTTTATAAATACACATCTAAGCCTAGACTCCAAAAGCTTTGTCTAACTATCCATTCAGCAGGCAGTAACTTACCACAATATGAAAACCTATAACTACAAATGTATTCCCTTTTCGTTTTTTTCACACTGTATAAGAACACATCCACTTCAGAATCATCTTCTGTGATTGGAAGCATTTAAATAGCCATGTACCATACATACGGTTCAAAAAATGTTGTAAAATGTAGTGGGGTTTCACAGCTTTCAGAAACTATTTCAATGAGTGGCAGAAAAATATCATGATAATGCACAAGAACAGCTTGTATATATAATATGTCTGGAACCAGTGATCATTTGACATGATATTTCAATATTTTATTTTTAGTTTGAGACATGTTTAAAATTATATCAGGTTTAGATGTTCAGGAATTTACAAGAACCAAGATATTTTGTCATCTGACCAATTTAATTTTACATAAAAAATTATATTTGAAACAGATTAGACCATGTTGAAGCTCATTTACCTTATGTAGAATACAATTTCATGTAAGTACTGCTCAGCATTTGCATATATTTCAGATTAGTATTGTATAACTAGTGATACATTGCCTGTCTCAGAAGAGCTCAAGTCATGACAAAAGTCTCCAGACAACCATTGTACTTTATATATCCCTAAGTGCAGATTTTTCCTGCCCTGGAGAATGCAAATCAGTCACATTATTTGCACACAATACACACATGGGTTGCTATACCTGGGATCATAATGGGATAATGATTTGTTGGTGTACAATTAATTCTAAACTTTTTTTATGTTTGGCCTGAGGCTTCTTTTAAAGGACTGTTCACATTCATATCTATATTTCTTTTTAATGTTCCACTAATATTTGTCATCTTTTGAATTCATTGCGTACTTAACTAACAGTATTTATATGCTCATGTATTATTAATCCATAAATCGAAGTCTGTGACAGTACATCTTTTAGATACTAGCATTTTATTTACTCTTCTGTTTTTATTAGGATACTAAACTTAATGGATGTCTTGCTTGGAAGGACTTTTAAAAACATTTCTACATCCAATCTTTGATCCCATATATAACTGTGCTCAGAAAAAGGTCACATTCTATAATTAACAATCTATAGCATGTAATTAATTTGGGACATTCTACAACTAATAGAATTACAGACGGTCTTCTGGTGAGGAAAAATGTTTTATAACCATGATAAATGGACATTGTGCCGGAGCCAAACATCTCATTTATGAATGAACTCCCTTCACTATGATTTTCATGGTTTATAGCCATAGAATAAGATACAGTGATTGCAAAAACAGCTACTGAAAAGAAGCTTAAAAGAAGAGAAATCATTCATTTGCAGGACATTCAAATTTTGTCTCCTGACAGCTTGTATGGCCGGAAAAGGGCTTTTGTCTTTCTACTGCGATATCAGTTACTGCTCTTAGCAGTATGCCACAATGCTTGGATTAACAGAATAAAACGATCTGGTGATGAGTAGCTGTGATTCAGACACAGAGCAGAGAGCAGACTGCCACACAGTGTCAGGATCACCGTGGCCTAAAGCCCGTGTGATGCAATGTGTAATAGCAGCAGCTGGCTGTAACTTAAGGAAGTGCAAAGGAAGCAGCAGGTGCAAGTTCTAGTTGCCATGCCTTCTTGCCAGCCTCTAACCTTATGCTCTGCGGCTTTATTGGCAGCTCACAAAGGAAAAAGAGTTTCCAGGAAGCAGAGCAAATCCAAAAATGTTAGCAACTAATTTGAACTTGTAAAACGTTCTGTAACCGCCTAATGTGATGTTTCAATCCAATGTTAAAAGTGAACTGGCATTACTTTGTAGAAAAACAACTTCTTTGTATGTCTTCCTTACTTCTGAAAACATTTCTAATACCATGGCAGAAAAGATAACATAATAATACCATATTAGATGCCTTATATGACATTATACACTATATGGCCAATAGCTTGACACATAAACATCACACCTACTGTATGGCCAGGAGTATGTGGTGCCCTATAAAGTATTGAGTTTGGATGTTTTCAGTGAAGTGTATTGTTAATGTTACAGCAAACACTTTAGACATTTTAGACCATTGTGCACTTTCAGCAGTTTGGGAAAGCCCCTTTTCTGTTCCAGCATGATTGTGCCCCTGTTCACTAGGTCATGCCTATGGTTTGATGTGGCTTGCACAGAATCTTTACCTCATCCCTATTGGACCCCTTTTTGAATGAATTGGAATGTGAGCAAGGGTTCTTATCGTATATCATTACATGACCTTACAAATTCTCGTTTAGATGAAGGCCACAAATTTCCCCACACACCATTCTTAATCTTGTGCAAAACCTTCCTAAAAGAGTAGAGGCTGTTACAGCCACACAAAGGTGTCAAATACATATGTCCACCCCCGGGCTTTTGAAATAGGAATGCACAAAAATCTCATAAGTATGATGGTCAGGTGTCTACCAGACATTGGCAATATAATGTATGCTATCAGATTAATGCATTGACAAATAATGATTCTCTTTGAATTAATAAAACTGGCCCACACTAAGTGATGGCCTTAACAAAACAAATGTAACAAATTCCTCTCTACACACCAAATAGCGCAAATGGAGGAATCCCCTTTGCAGCTGTTGTATTCAGAATCTCTTGCTCCAGCGGCTGCTGAATACCTGTGCATGACTGGATGCCGGGACTGTTCTGCTGAAAGATTTTAGACTAGCTCCTTCAATAAAAATTGACTACAAAATTGACTTCTGTTAAGTGGATGGGTGCCGATAGGGCCACCCAAGGCTCAAATTTCAACCAGTTTTTCAGGGACTGACAGAAATTCGCTCTGTTTATGGCCAGCTTAAGGCTCTTATCAGGCTTGTCATATGATGGCACTTGGCATAAATAAATATCTTTTTCTTTTTTTGCATTGCTTCACAAAGGCAACTGATCAGCCTCTTTATAAGACTAACAAAGGGATGGCCAACTTAAAGGGTTGCCTAGCAGTAAATCTCTCTCCTAATTGCTGCCTGCTTCATTGAGTTTAATTTGATATTAATTTAATTTGACTTTTTTAAACCTTTGAAATTAGCTTTCTTAGTGGTGTTTCTTAAAGTTTTTTTTAAATAGTGTGGAGAAGCATTGGGATTTTCTTGTAATGAGTAATTTGTGAGGACTCAATACATTCATCTGCACTTGCAGTCTATTAACTATCTTTTATGAACAAAGGCATTTTCTTAGTAACCATTTCTTTTTAGAAGCTTGTCCAGCTTAGCCATGCAACAAGATTAAGTCAGTACAATATACTTTATAAGGACACACTTTGCTCATGATTCTTACTGTCATTACTCTGCAAGGTTTTGTCATTTATTTAAATTCCGTATTTTTTTTATAGCAGTGTTTGCTCAGTTAAGCCACCTTTAACTACCAAAAGATGGTACCTGCCACTCCTGTGTAATATTTGTTAATTGTTGGTTTTATAATACATACTATAATAGTGATTAATCTAATAAATACTAGAATAGTGATGTAATGCTATTATTTGCACTCTAGTTTTGGGTATAGGTATAACAAAATGTCAGTTTAGCGAAATATAAAAGGCTCAGCATAGAAATGCTGGATTGTGCATTTGTGTAACAAAAATAAGTCTCTTTGCGGATGCCATAACAGTGACAAAACAAAATAAAAGTAAATTATACAGTACATTGTAAAATGAGAGTTGGGAGTACAGGTTGTGGAAATTTATATATATAGAGCTCACTCTTTATAGAGTAAAGACAAGTATTTAAATAAAAAAATGTTTGTTTCAGTTGCCTAGAAGAGTAGTAAATTACTAATGATTATAATACATTTCTTAACACAGGACATACAGTAGCAGGATGCTTTTGAAAAATGGGGCTAAAGGGATTAATAAAGCTGATATAATACAGTACTGTGTTATGTTAGTCAGTATTCCCTTTTGCCTGTCATCTTACTAGTGTTTTACCATTAGCAATGTAGTTGTTAGTCTATAAATATATATGTTCATATTCCACTGTAAAGTGTCTTTGTGGTGTTTATGTGTTGGTTTGTTTTGGTGCGATGTTATGTTGTATCCCCAGGGTTTGCCAGGCTATCCCTCAATGGCCGCTCTCCATAGTAATCAGATCCTCACCGTCAAGGTTTGTCAATAATGTGTCTGTGGCCAGTCAGATAGCCAGCAGCATGATCAGTTATAATCAGCAGCATGGGCTTCCTAGTTACCATCTGCACCATTACCAGAAGCAAATTAAGCATTCTCATGAAATTTCTATCATTTATTTTCAACAGAAAATATATATTTAGAAAGACAAATTGGTTTCCCGTGCTGTGTCACTTCATGCTGACTGAAATCTGACTGCCTTTATAGAGTACTACTGGCGCTTTGTTCAGGGGATCTGTGCCAAAATTATGTTGATAAATTCAAACTATATGATAAATTGACCAATGAACTCTTGGCATGGTTGCCATATTGGATGCACCTCATTGATATGAAGAATAATGTAGCTTGTTTATATAACATTTTACTTTAATGAAAAAAAAGACTATTAAGAATATTATTCGCCAAAGCACAGAGAACTTATGAAATTCCCCAGTCACAGGCAGCCAGTGTGTACTCTACTTTTTATTTTGCATCTAATGCTTATGTCTCTATTTCTTTCTTCGGGCCTTCTGATGTCTGTCCTCCAACTTTCTCATCTCTGAACTTCAACCTTTGACCTCACTTCACTGATCAGATGGTGTTTCCTAAGATCAATCACGGCTTTCTTTCTGCTGATCAGCAGCTCATTAAACGCCGCCTCATTAAGGTAGAGCTAAATGGATTTAGGAGTGTGTATTTTTATTACTTTTGTCTCTATACATAGTTTGGTCTCTATATTATAGTGTGAGTTTTATAGTTTTTTGTTTTTTTTTGCACAGTACATTTTTTTTAGAGGGTTCATATATCTAAAATTAACTTGATAGACAATTGAACGTTTCCTTTGTCAATCAAAAGTACAGATTTACAGAAAAAAGGATTGTGTGTGTGTGTGCGTGTGTGTGTGTAAAGGGCAATAATTACAACAATTATGCTCCATTTTATTTTAGTTCATGTTAGTAAAGAAAATTCTGATTGGCTGTAATCAGCTACTGCAGTTATCATAGAACTCCTTTACTTTTTATTGAATAAGTCTGAAAATGTTAGAATTTAGTTAAAGAGAACCATGCTATCATCATGATCCACAAAAGTTACACCTTGTTTTGGATCCGTGAAACAATAGTTGGGTATTCCTTAATTTTGGCTGCTTTGCGGTTAACTTTTTGCCTTTTTTTCTGCAGCATTCTTTGCTTATCCTATTATATTCCTGCGCAATGCATGCCGTATACTATACTGTGCATTTCCAGGCAATGGAATGTAATTACTATATGCTAACCACAAGAATAGTCCGATAAAGCCAAATCTATACTTTAACTCCAAACTCTCATTAAGATTTTTAAGTAGCCAAATCCAGTGGCAGGATTATACAGACATACAGAAAACCAAATACATTTATGCTTTGTAATAACATGCCAATTCTTGTGTTATTGTACTGATTATTTTAGCTGTTTATAGTTGTATTTTATTAATGTCCTGTGATAAATGATAGCCACAAAACTGTTCATTTATTGCCAACTTATTTTTTAATGTTATTAAATAACTAACATGTGATAGATATGGTTTCACACACATTGTAAATTTTTTCTGAAACAAACACACAGAAGGTAATTAAAACAAATACACAAATAGATATATTGCTATATAGTAAACTATGTATCCAATTAAAAAACAGTATTTTGTGTATAACATAAAATATTATTTAAATCACATATTTCTTTAAAATAATTTTACTAGACATAAGGCCTATTCATGCAACAGTAGCAATACAGTATATATAGTATTACACAGAAATATTCCCTGTGTATCCTACTGTTATGTTGTGACTAACTATATGCTTTTATTAAGGGTGACCAAGGACAGGCAGGGCCACCAGGTCCACCTGGTCCTCCTGGACCACCAGGGCCTAGAGGTCCACCAGGTGACACCGGTAAAGATGGACCAAGAGGATTATCTGGAGTTCCAGTAAGTCTTTGCTTTGTCAGGAAAATCAGTATTTTAATCTGTACTCGGGGCACCTTAATATATTTGTATTAGCTGCATGTTCAAGTTATTTAATTCTGTTCTTTTTTGTTAGAACCATTCCTGACCCCCAGTCATTCAAAAAAGCAGTGCTTAAAACTACCTGCAGAAAGTACCTCAGGCCAACAGGTTGCCAGTATTCTGGATGACTGATCATCTCCTAACCCTTTTAAGCAAATATATGGTGAATGTGGCGAGAATAATGTCATGATATTATTTTTCAGAGATATAGAGCAAATAGGAAAATGTCAACCATCAATCCCATAAATTTGAGCCTTGTCACCTCACCTGGTATACTCAAATCAGTAGTAATGACCAAACACAGAAAGCTTCTGAAAGGCAAACACATTGTCAAAATTATGATTACAAATCGCCAATGTTCTTTGCAGTCAATTGTCCTCAAAAAAAGATACTGAAAGCTTGCAGATGCAAATTTTAAAGTACAATAATTTTTAGCTCTTAGCCCTAGCTGTTAATAAACCATTACACGTATATGCAGCTGAATAGCAGTGAATTTGTTGAAACATGCCAATATGACTGATCAAGTGTCTGTAATCAGTATTACTCTAAAGCTGGACTGATTGCCCACCGTCAATGACAGGGGTACCTTCTGAAGTTCTAAGAACAGATTCTTCCCTTTTGACAACAAACCTTGAAAATGACTCACATTTCTGGCTTTTGGGCATTGTAATCTAGCTTTTTGCATCGAGTATACAAATGGATTTAACCTGATTTGTTAATTTCTCTTTAGGGAGAGCCAGGACAACCAGGTGAACCAGGCTTAGTCGTAAGTATTGTGAATTATTTGACAGGAAAACAAACACACACACATACAGTATACTGTATATATATATATATATATAGATATAGATATATCTATATATCTATATCTATATA